AACCATTATACCCTGATTTCCCATTTTCAATGGGTTCAGGGTATAAAAAAACAAACAAACTGTTCATGTACGTATGTTATAAGAGTATCTTTCTTTTTTAGCTATTTCGATTTCAATATAACCATAACCGCAAATTATGGATATTTATTTATTAAGGGAGTGCCTATATGTTTTATTGCGTCTCAATTTAATACAACTTGAGCTTTTTACTGGTTTTCTTCATTTAGAATTTTGTTTTCTGCCAGGGCCGCAAATGATACAGATAATAATAACATAAGAACAGCTCTAGGGTTCTTTTAGATACATCAATTTTGGACGCTTTTACGGTCTTATCTGCTCCATACACTTTTTCTCATTCGTTTAGCTTTGTGGCTCGTTTACATCTATTTCTATCCTATTATATGTGATATATCTATCTATCTTACTGTCACCTCTCCTTCATGCTATTTTTACTCTTTAGAAATCCTCTGTATTTGTATTTTAAGTTAGTTACTGTCTATTCTTATATTTTTCTTCGTTCTTCAACCCTACATACATATATTGTATTTACTCTCTCAAAGGTTTTTACTAGTTTGCGAATTTACGCTTGGCTTTGGGTTTTGTCAAATATTTTTCAGCGTCATGTACTCGAATTCATGTAGAGCCTCGGTTGGCCTTGAATGTAATTTCAACAAACGTATTCCTTTTCGAAAACATTGTTGAATTATTTGCTAAAAACATTTCATAAATTTAAATCGAAGTTGATTGTATGCATATATATTTATTTTGTTTTTTTTTTTTTAATTAAATTTTTTTATATAATAGAAGTTTAGTGTATGTATATTCACTTTGGAAAATTCTAAATTCAACTTGCGCAGAATGGAGGCAAAGTCAGTCCAATTACCGAAAGTTGAATCGAAGGAACTGGATGCAACGAAAATTCCGAAAAAGCCGAAAAAGCCAAAAAAGCCGAAAAAGCCGAATGTGTATAATAAGCTCTGGACACCAATACGACCAACAGACGAAAGGTATGCGAAAGTGGTGAACTCGGAATACCGCAAAAGGGTTACCAAATTTGTAAACAAGCTAATAACGCTGAGCCAGCTAGAGCCCGACAGCGAGGAGGAAAGGAAGAAAGAGATTGCCGAGGAAAATCGCGAACTATTTGGGGATATGTTGAAGCGATATGAATTAATCAAAGAAGGAATCAACAAGACTGAAAAATTCCCTAAACATTTTTGTGGAACGTGCACTGAGCTTCAGTTGGTTAACGATCGGAAGCGTGGGGATATCTGCGATTATAAGCTCGCGCATCCCATACCAATTACAGAATGCTATACTGGTACACATGCTATCGACGAATCTCCAGCAACGCTAGAGCCAACGAAGGAACGGAGAATCAAGAGATTCCCCATAACAGAGCTCGTACAATATTTGATAAATGAGCCACTTGGGAGCCGAGCCAGGAGTGACTCGGATAGGTATCGCTATACGCAATTTAATATGACTGAAGAGCTCTGTCGTCGGTTTACCCAGAATATTGGACCTACAATGGCCGTTTATGTCGATGACAAAAAGTTTTTCTGCCATTCCCTGCTGTTGATCACTATGTCTGAATTTTTTAGAAATCGTGAGTTCTCACATGAGCTTCATTTGCCTGGCTCGAAGATACCGGCTCGCACCTTTGTCGAAATCTATCGCTGGATGATCGAGCCGATTCAAACGGTCTCGCTCACCCAGCTCGTTGAGCTGTTGCGTGGCGCCCATTTCCTGGCCATCAAGGCGCTAAGCAATCAATTGTGGAAATTCACCCAGGAATTGCTTAAGGATCGAAATCGTATTATCATCATGTATTCCCTAGCGCAACGCGTGTGTACTCACGTTGAGACGATTCTAACGCCCTATATGGGGTACGTTTTTTTGCGGTATGTGGGCAGCTCCAATTTTCTGAAACTGGAATTCAGCAGTGTGAAACGGCTTCTAGAAGCGGACACGCTGGGAGTGAATTCGGAATTGGAAGTGGGTATACTGCACTGATATCAATTGATAACCAATTATGATCCATACTCCCCTTTCGATGTCGACAGGTATTATATGCAGGGGTGCTTTGGCTGCAATACGATTGGCCACTCCGTAAATGCTTTGTAGGCGGTGTAATGAGTGCTGTACGCTTCAAGTATGTACCAATTGTGTTCTTAGTGCGCATCGCCCAAGTCGAGCATACATTGCCGGTAATGGGAGCCATTCGACGTTGTTGGACGGTGCACAAGCAGATATACGATGGACAGTGAGTACAGTAGAGGCTAGTTATTGGCTAGCAAACATGATTAGTGATTAGCTCTCCACTTAAACTCATAGCATCCGTCAACGTCCAGCAAGTTCTAAAGATGATCAGGGCGACCAACCTCGCGAATACATCTTCGATCCATCTTGTCCCTATCATCATGGCTACTATTGTAGAGAAATGCGCTATATTTCCTACAAGCAGTTCCTCCTATATATCAAATGGTTACAAACGCTCCCAGGACTACAGCTAGAGGGTCTCAGAGGCTATAAAGCCAATGACATTGTCTGCTGTTGAATCTGCCTGCGATTTAATACAAAATTGTGGTTTTTTAAACTAAACGAATTTTTACCAGTATTTAATCAACAATCTTTTGGATGGGGATATTATTTAATACTTCTCTGACACCTATAATATATGCTGCTAATATAGACTACATACACTACTTCTACATACACTTCTACCTCTCTATTTTCTTGAATCTCATTTCCTCATTCTCTTCTTAAAGCAATACAAGCTGATTCAGACTAAGCTCAATTTCCATATAATCTGCTACATTGCAAATGCAATGTAGCTTCGGCAAATCTTTTCTTGTCTCTTCTTTCATTCATCCGTTAAATTTAGTGACTTACAAATGAACTGCAATATAGATCATTATCCTCTTCGATGGCACCGTGGGCGGCATGAAGGCCGCTGTTGTCGCAAAACGCAACCGTTTGGAGTGCTGTCACCCAATCCTTGAGCTCCTCATCGCTATTCGTATTCAGCGTAAGTTGAACATTACGCTTGACAATCTGTATGAGATTCGCTGGCGGCGGCTCCTGTGTGATCTTTACGCAATTCTCAAGTGTAAAGATCTTTGGATTCTTGTCATCCTTATTCTCGCATATCTCCAGGCGAGCAATGCCATGGCGACTGGCTTTGAATAGGAGACAATAACGGCTGCATGATTTCTGGAAAAACAAAATAGCCATATTTAGTAAGGATATTGCAGAAATATATGTATATGTACATATGTAAGAATATATTATAACGGTAAGTTCTCAGCCATGTTTTTAGTATCTTATTAGAGGTCTCTATGTAATCGGTCTAAGTCCTTTAATATTAGATAATCGTATAGAATATAGAATATACATATTGACAGCTGTAAAGCTGTCATAGATTAAAATGAATAGAGTTTAAATTATGATGTGTATGTATTTATATTGATGCGAGTTTGATATATCTTTGGCTTTTATTATGATAACTCTTCGAGTACATCTCGATGATTTTGTTGTTTATTAATTTGGTGTTAGCCTCGCACTAACCATTGTAAGATCGAGTTTTAATGTTGTGCTAATCAAATTTCCAACGAAAATTCGAGCGTTACTTACATAACAAAACAACAACAGCAAACATAAGTATTTGTAGCTGGGCACGGCCCCAATCCTCAAAGCTCAGAGAGACATGAAGTCGCTTAAGCACACCAAAGAATTCCCTGACATATGGAAATAATTGTATATATATTTATATATACATATATATATATATCTATCTATATACATGGATGAGTCCCAAAAAACAGCCGTCATCGCGAGCATTTACACATACACAAATATATGTATGCATATAAGCAGACACCGTCTGTGTGTTTGTGTGCGTTGCATGTGTGTCTCAGGCGCGCACACGCAAATCGAAAATATGTTCGGCTCGCCGTTTGGCATGCTTCTCTCTTTCTCCCACCTTATGCGACTCATTTGTATGCAACAAGTATGCAGATGGAGATATCTACACAAACACACACACTCACACACAAAGGCACGCAAGTCTGTTCACACATGCATACATACACTCACACACACATACACATACTCTCGCAAACGCACACATGCACATGGCGAGGGTCCTGTTGTAATACGCAATTGCCAAATATGTTAAAATTGCATTTAGAATATTTAAGGGCATTGCACATTTGTGCATTTAGTGTGTTAGTTGGTAATAATGCAAGTTCTTTGGCAGGCTCTTACCTTTTTCGAGATACGATTTAGCGAAAATCCAGTTTGTGTTGGAACATTAAGATATCCAGCCAAAACAGGTATTTCAACATCCATTCTGTTGAGGCCCGTTGCCGATGCTTCTCGTTTGCGTAGTCAATTGGCCAATAACAATATGCAATCTTGTCAGTTTTCATATATGTTAATGATTTGTATTACTTGACGAATTACAATTTGAGATTCACACTTCATATTTACATTTGACCGCAACAAAAATAAACGCAACCGCAGGCCCACAATTCGAGTAACTTTATTTATTTATGCGCTTCCAGAGCTGCATTCTATGTGCTGCAATCGAAATCGAGTTATCACGCAGCCTAGCGATGGAGGCACTATCGAACGCGCTGATCGCCAACGATCACGATTGCATTGCATCATCGATGACAATTTAAATCGAACTACTTGATATTCTTCAGCATAGATATAAATTTTTTCAAAGTATTTAATATTTAGAAATAAATAATGAGGTTAAGTGGTTGACAAAACGAAAGCACATTCAAAATTAAACATTTCGCCGCCTATAGTAGCCATACTGAGAACGATAGGTATTAATGGGACCGCCATGCAAATTCGCCTGTGCGGCCAAACATGAACAGACGATGTATCGATATGTTGCGGAGAGTGGCACTGCCAACCTGTTACATATATTAGTGTGAATGGCAAAAATAATAACATACGGGCCCGTGTAAAAGTTGGATTATATGCAAAATAAATAAATAAATAAAACATGGCACACGATCGAGAAGTGCTACGTATGATATGGGAGGGTCAAATTGGCATATGCTTCCAGGCAGACAGCGAAGAGATTGTCGGCCTCAGGCCAGAACCCTTCTACTTAATGGTCTCACGCCTCAGCTACTTGCCCCTGGTCACAGACAAGGTAAATACAAGCAACAAAAAACAAAAACAATCCCTTTTCACTTGTGTATGTGATTAAATGGCACTAATTATTACTGTTAACAGGTGCGAAAGTATTTTACCCGCTATATTGCTGCCGAGCATCAGGAAGGCGCTGTTTGGTTCGATTTCAATGGAACGCCGCTCCGTCTGCATTATCCAATAGGTACTTATAAATAGGCGGCGTTATGAGCGTGCCAGCTCGAATTGTAAATTGAAATATTTTACTATGCACAGGTGTGCTGTACGACTTGCTGCATCCAAATGAGGATGGAACACCCTGGTGCATCACCATACACTTTTCCAAATTTCCTGAAGAGACTCTTGTCAAATTAAACACAAAGTATACGAGAGACTAATATATATATTTCTATATGATTAGTAGCTAATGAGCTTTATTAACCATTGCAGAGAGCTGCTGGAATCACATTACCTGGCCTGCCTAAAGGAGGCCGACGTGCTGAAGCATAGGGGCCTTGTCATCTCAGCCATGCAGAAGAAGGATCACAATCAACTCTGGCTGGGCCTGATCAATGATAAATTCGATCAGTTCTGGGCGATCAATAGACGCCTAATGGAGCCGTACAACGACCAGGAGTCATTTAAGAACATTCCAGTGCGTTTCTACTACGATGATGTAAGTGCAAATAGCCAAAAGATTGCCTATAGTCAATGAATAAGCTGAAAATAGGTGGCGTTAATGTAATGCAAGCTTATTCAATTGAGGAAAGTAGAATAAACGTAGTTTCAGTTAAAGCAACTGTAATACATAGAGTAGATGTGGAAAAACTAACAGCTGGAGCATTCTGAGCTAAGAACTTAAAACAGTAGTTACAGCTATAAGAATACAAATGTTGAGTAAAGAAAAATTTGAAAGCAGAAGCATAATGAATGGCTATATCCAAATCCACTAAAGTATTGTTGATTCACAAATGTGCTCTTAGGTGTTTGTAAATCTATGTAAAATTAACGGTATTCGTAAGATTTCTAAGCTGACCAACTAACATTAGAAATCATTTTCTAAACTTCAAGAACAAATCAACTCATGGTGATTAATGATAAATAAGAGAATTGTATATGCCTTATAGCGTTGGATTGCTTTTATCCTTGAGGTCTGTTACGTACATACAACTATAGAGTACGATATAGGCATATTTTGAAACCAGTTTACAAAATGATAAAAGTGTATACATATCTAGTCTACTGTACGTGCATATATCTATTTTAAAGCCAGAGACCAGAACTTATATATGACCTAATAATTGAATCTGGATGTGGTTTCATAAAGTTGTCAAGCATTGAGGTAATTAGCGCCTTTCCAAATCGATACAAAATTACATATTCATGCCCACCGAGAGTACAAATCCTGCTATCTCCTGAAAACTATTAGGACTAAAGCCTATATAAATGTAGATATCAGCGTTACATAAAAGACCGTGCGTGCTGTAGCTGCTGGTTTTGCGTATTTGCAACATCTGGGAATCTGTTTGGCAGCTGTTGATTTACATATTTTACAGATTGTAGATTTCATATATTTCATAGTTTTTCAGCTGTTTAATGTATTTCTAACAGATCAAGTTAAACATATGCATTCTTATTAACTACTTAGCTGGCACACAGAAAAGCTATATCTTCCATACTGTAACTACTATTAAACGTATAGGCAAATCCCATGTTAATTATGATATAGTGAATATAGGTATATAACTATAAATCATCTAGTTATTCCTAATATAAACAAATTTAGCTTAATTTTTTTTAACCACGCACGAATATCATGTACTCAATAACGTCCAATTGGATAGTTTTTATATGTAGGCGCTAATTCATTCCAAATGTAGGGGTAACAATTGCAGTCTTATTGTCCAGAGCATTGCATATCCTTCATATTTTATTGCCATGTGGCAGCTCTGTCTGCCATTGCAACCTAACCTCACTTATTGAAAACTCTTTAAATATCCCCAAGTACATTTAAGCTATTAATTAACATTAACATAACAAATTATAAATCTAAATTTTTGTAAAGGAGGTAATATAAATACAGATCCTTCTTATTGCACGACCAGGTGGCAACGCTGTCTGCCAAAACAGCCTAACTTCACACAACGAAATAAGAAGAATATATGGGAATAAATCTATTTTTGATATATCATATGCAAGCATTAGTTAATAAAAGTATTAAAATTGGTTGATTTAGGCCAAGATTTATATGCAGGCGCTATTAGACTAATTGGTTTTACGACAGTTATAAAGCTTATTTGATGGAGATATTTTGTGGAGAGACGTGTTAATTACTATATGATATTGACGCATTATATGTAGATTGTGGCATATCTAAATTGACGTCGTCTAAGCTCTATCTGGCACGTGCAGCATACTCAAACTGAAGATATAGAAGATAATGCCCTCTCCATCTCTCTCTCTCTCTAAATAGGATTTTACGTACATGCAGAAATTAATATCGCCGCTGAATGAAGCTGGACAAAAGAAGAATCTGGCCGACCTGATGGCCGAATTATCAACACCTGTGCGCAGAGCAGGTGAGTGCACATACATACATACATACACGAGTGTGTATACCACACCAAGAATATATATTACACTGTGTATAGAGCAGATATTGGGGCAGCAGCAGCAGCAGCTATCAATTAGCCGCAGCCACTCAAAGCCGTTTGCTTGCATTCTTATAGCAGCATCCTTAGCAGCTCAGTCTCTGTCCGTCCGTCTCTCTCTCTCTCTCTCCCCCTCTTTAGCGTCGCATTCATTAGAAAAGCGGCAAAAAAAAAAAAAACAAAAAGGTGCCAGTCAGTCTGGCCGAAACGTCGTCTTGTCGGCTCTCGCTGACTTATTTATTTTTCTATTGAAGCGCACACAAAACGAGGCAAAGCCGCTGGCAACGCCGCCGTCGGCGTCGACGTCGCCGTTGCCGTTGCCGTTGCCGCTGACGTTACTGCCAATCATTCCTCAATTCATCAATGTCGCACAGCAACAACAACAGCAACAACAACAAAAGAACTAAAAATTATTGAACAATAGCCCCAGGCAGTCCACGGGACTCAAAGCCGAGAGCCGTGCAGGTTGCCTGTTGGATTTTTGTTCTTTCTTTCTTTTTCTCTTTTCAGTTTTCAGTTTTTTTTTTTTTTTTTTTGTTCTCTTCTCTTTTGGCCAAGTGTTTTTCGAGCCATTCAGCTGCCTAGACAAATGTGTGCGAGTGTCTCTGTGTGTGTGCGTGCTCAACAATAGAGTGCGTGTGGATTTTTCATGGCAAGCGAACGTTGCAAGAGGCGCTGCTGGGTTCCAACTGACCTGCGGCGCCGGCGACAGAGGACGCAAGTGCGAGCGAGTCGGCGCGTAGCTAACTGAGTCTGCGTGCATGTACATACGTGTGTAGGTGTGCTCGTGTGTGTGTGTGTGCCGTGTCGCAGTGGCTTAGGTGCAATAATAGCATTGGGAATTCCACAGCTAGACAAAAGGCGGAACTAAATACCTGCGGCTGGGATTTACGAATTACCACGTGAACAACTACACTAGCCATGCACATTTGTGTGTGTATATGTGTGTGTGTGTGTGTGTGTGTGTGTGCGGGAGTGTAGTGTAATGCCGTAGCTACATAGTGCGCAGGCCTCTTTCATTGAGAAGCATCTAACACTCGACTATTCCAAGTGCATTCTCTCCCTCTCTCTCTCTCTCCTTGCCTCTCCCTCTCTCTCTCACTCTTCACTTCGCCTTATCCTTGCCGCCTGGGACACCTTGTGGCATCTGTTCTCGCTTAGAGCGAACAGCAGGTTGGCCCTGTGTCTTCGTGTCTACGGCGGGTATTTCCCCGGACTACAAGGTGTGAAATTTTTATTTGCATGCTTCGGCCCGCACTTACTTTGCGCTGTTAGCAACATTTTGTTTTATTTCATTTTCGTTTATTTTTTTCTCCTCTCTTCTTCTTCCCTTTCCCTCGTCATCTTGGACTAGCATTTCGTCCTGGTCCTGGTAATTCCCATTTGAAAGGTGAGAGATTTGCTGGCGAACAAAAACCGATCCTTTTTCGTCCAATGGATGCCCACAATTTTCTGGCTGTAACACGTATTTTCCCAAAGGTCATCCAACGTGACAGTTGCAATACATTTCCCTTGTCCTTGATGCTCAGACACATACACTAATGCACACACACACACACACACACACACACATGTATATAGTAGCTCTTAAGTCTGGCTTAAGTGGGCCAATGGATCAGTCCAGTGCCATGTGCACTTAGACACAAGTTAATTCCCGATTAGGTCAATTGAGCGCCCCCAGCAAAGCGAAACACCAGGCAAATCTCCTGCATCGCTATGCTAGGCATATTTAATTGTGCAATTACTTAGCTAAATTGATTGTTGTTGGTTGGTGTTTTATTGGTCTCTGCATTAGTATTGCCAGTTCCATTATTGGCTGCGGATTACGATAGCTATGATCATAATGACGACAGCGTTGAGCGTTGAGCGTAATAAAGAATTGATAATGATACTTTGGTAACTTTTTACTACCCTTATCTTCGTGTCATCATTATGATTATTGCCAATATATTTGTCTTATAATTGTCTTTATTATTATTAACGGTGCTTGTTTCCTCATTGTTTACAAGCATTAGTCGAATCACTAGATATTATTATTATAATGATATTATTCATAATTTTTCATGATCATAATTATTATTGTTACCATTAGCAATTTCATTATCGTTATTGATTATTACTAATACACATTATTGTCATTAATATTATTATTGTTGATTTTTTTGTACTGATCAAGATCAATATCATAGTAATTCTTGTGACTATCTTTACTTTCATTGCCATCGCTCTAATTATCACATTCAATTTCATTATCATGCTATGATCATGATTATCATTATTATAATTGCTATTATCGTCATCATTATGATTCTTATTACAATCTATTACAACCCCCAGAGCTTCAGCAGAAGTTGGCAATACCATTATTACCATTATTATTAGAGACTATATGGGCCCTAAATGTTTTAAGGCACATATATGGTTTTTATTTGTAGTTCTCATAAATGGTGTATAGACCTTATAAGCCACTTATCGCCAGAGCCATATATACATGTTCATTCAATCATATCTGATCTTACTATATAGGCCAACTCGGAAAATATGCTTCATCCGTTCAATTGAAATACTTTTGATATATTATTTAAAGAGAGAATGAAATCGAAATATGAATACATTTTAGTTATTTAAACCCAAGCAAAATGCTATTTTAATATTCGATATCAATATAGGTTATTTGTGTTCTCATAAAAACTTGGGAGCTGCTGAACTTCAGTAAAACTATTAAAATTTAGTAATTCATGAAAATGGAGACGCTTCAAGAACCATTTAACATTAGACCAAATGCATACATCTATTATGATTTTTATTTGTACATATTTTCATGCCCACAACTGTATAAATGGATATAGTTATTGGGAGCACTTTATATTGTTTTCATTAGAGAGCAAATGCCATTTTTCAGTATATGCAAAATACATGCGATTTATGAAAAGCCATTTGACATCAATAGAAACGATTTTCCAATCAAGAATCATTTCACTTTTCCCGTTTATGCAAAAGTTCAGCGAATCGAAGACGAATGTACCAGAACGCTCCCAAGAGTTGGGAGTATGTATGCTCCAGGCAGACCGAACTGAAAACTCATTCAATGGATATGTTTATGAACACAACCCCAACCCCCGACCCCGACCCCCACACACAGGCACATATATAACATGAGTTGTTTATAGTGGGGGCTTACTGCGTCTAGCATTGCCTGTAATGATGATCCGTTTAGTGGCCCCTTCCAGTTGCTGCCGCCGCTCCCCCCACCCGCTTTAGCCAGTCTGTTGCCAATTGCAGTTTTGGTGTAAAAGAAGAAAGAAACGTTTTACCGACACCGCCACCGCCACCACCACCACCACCGCTGCCGCTGCCGCTGCTGCCGTTAGCATCCGCATCCGCCATTGAAACACCCACAAATCACATTCAAAACGTGGTCAACTGTCAGCGGGTGGATGGGGGACTGCGGGGGCAATTGCACGCACGTACGTATGTGAGTGTGTATGTGTGTGTGCGCGTGTGCAATGCGTGCATTTTCATAGAAAATTTGTATTTAAATTGAAATGAATTTCAAATATACAATGCAGTCGTCGTGGCGGTTCAAAGTAGATGCCATTCCGAGAAATCAAAAAAACCAACAGCAACAGCAACAACAACAACAACAACAGCAATAGCAGCAGCAGCAGCAGCTAAAGGCGGCCCGAGAATCTAAGACGCGTCAAAAATAAAGAAAACGCATTTCTGTACGACTGCGCTGCAGCGTCGCTGTCGCTGCTGTCTACTTTTTTCACTGTATGTGTGTGTTTTTTTTTTTTTGCTTCGCTTTTATTTTTTTGTGCAGTGCGCTCGGCATGGGGAGAGAGCGGTTGGCGGGAGCCCATAGCACAGGCGCTTTCATGATTTGCCGCCGGCTGCGAGTGGCGGATCTGGCGTTCACCGGAAAGCAGCGTCAGCTTCGGCTACAACTACAACTACGGCAACGGCTACAGCGTCGGCGTTGGCGTTGGCGTTGGCGGCGGCGTTTTGGCTTTTTGAATGCTCACACACACACACACACACGCACGCACACGTACGCACGCATACTATCCAGTTGCTCTCTTCCTCGTCTCTCGCTCCCTCTCTCTTTCTTGTGCTGTGTCTAAAATGCTCTCCCAATTTGTGTGCGTACGTGCGTGTTGGGCTGCGTTTGCATTGGTATTGGTATCGGTATTGTTTGCGCCTGTGTTTGCTAAGGCTGCTCTCGAATGTGTGAAAAGGAAGTTCTGAGATATCACCTCCGCTTATTTGTATTTACACCTCCACCTCCGCGGGCAACTTCAACTCCACCTTGCCCGTCGGAAATCGCACCTCGCGCTAACAGCCCAGCGCTTGTATATTTATCATGTTGCCCCGTCGCCCCGTCGCAGCCTGTTGCCGTTGCTATTGCTGCTGCATCACGTCTTTTATGGTCAGCAGTTTTCGGCTGCTGCTGCTGCTGCTGCTGCTGTCTCTCTTTGCCATTGTTGCTGTTGTTGTTGCTCCTGCATGCGGCTGCTTGTTGCTGTGTTGCATTTGCCACCTTTGCATTTGCTTAGTTCCATTTCGACACATTTTCGTTTGCATTTCGTCAATCAGACAAACAATGCACAATGCAATCAGGACGACCCTCACCCTCGCCCTCACTTGCTCTCTTTGTGCCTGTATGTGTGTGTGTGCACATATCTATGTGTGTCTCTGAGTTTGCTTGACAATTGTTTGCGCCACGCCCTATCGTTTTGGGTGGGCTGCTCGGTGCGCTGAGCGGCAGCTGCAAACAAAAAACTAAAATGCAAGCAACAAGTTGGTCCTTTGAATTCATTTTGTCTCTCACAAAATTTGGACGAAATCCGCTTAAAATTTAGCGACGTTTCCACTGAAACGGCACACACACACACACACTCACAGACTTTGACTGGCTGGAAAGCTCCTCGTCACATTAAGCTCTCTTGGTCGCTTGCGTTCTCTTGCTTTTAAGCTGAGCTTTCAGCTTTCGTCGTCGGCTTTCTTCGGCTTTTCTCTTAGCCTCTCGCCGACTCTTCGCTCGTTCGCTTTGCAGCGTTCGCTGTTTTATCAGCTTTTAACTGTTTACATTAGCGCCTTACAGCGAACCGTACTCACATCCGAATTATGTTCTCAATCAATTTGATCCCATCGCATGTCTGCCTCTGTCGGTATATGTATGTGTACACACACCACGCCACAGCAGACCACAGCGCATATCCAGCCAACCGGCAGTCGGTCGTTCCATCTCTCTCACACTCACTGGTGCCACCATTTCCTGTGATACGTTTTGTTTATGTGCTTTTTGGCGCAATTTGCCGAAAAAATGCTCGCTCAACAGCTTTTAAGCGAAAGGGTATTTGCGCTTTGCATTTCGATGAAATTGCACAAAAACTAATGGCGTCGCTATACATATATTTTACTGTTTGTAAATGAGAGATCTGTTGTTGTTGCTATGTACATACAATATATATTTCTATAAAAATAGTTAGGGTATTTGCCCGTGGCACACGCTTTAACTAATTATGTACATTTCCTGCTGCTTCAATTCAAAATGGAATTTTAATTTTGTCTCTCGCCTTAAGTTGACAACTTTGTTTCTCAGTCAAAACAAACTTACTGCAATATGGTCAAGTCGAACTTCGACAACAACAAAAACTTACAACAACAAATACCACACCATAACCCCAAAAGGCAAAGTATCAGAATCAATTGATTTTGCAGTTTTAATCACGTCAACTGAGCTGAACGAAAAGAAAATATGCAATCGATATGAAAATATATCTTACGATCGAAGACGACCGGAACTGAAGATCGCCGGGCCATTGCGACAATGAATCGCTAAACAAAGATACTTTGTCTATCAAACTCTCGAAACGAAACATTAATCAACGCCCAGCATGCCGAATATTCCAGTCCATACACGAAGTTCTGTGTGGAAAATAGTCTTTTGTCTATTTTGAAGGAGAAGATCATGCAGGTCGATATACTAAATTGTCTTGTGATATATAGTTTGTGCAATGATTGGATAGATAAGAAGTACAACGAGCCAAAGATAATATAGATGCTAATACTATATCTTAATCAATTAAATTGTAAGCCAATCAGCTAGATATTATCTAGAAACATATATTACACTCTATATGTATATATATTACACTCCTTGTCTATATATTACATTAGCTGAGTGCCTAATTTATTAAACAAACCAAAATAGAGATCTCTGAAAGCCGAAACCCTAGAAGCTAAGCTAATAACTGGCTATATTAATTGAAATATTAATGAAAGAAATAGATAGAGATATTACAATATTCAGTCAAACCAAAATAGAGATCACTCAAACCCTAGAAGCTAATGCAATAACAGGCTTTATTAACCATATAGAGATCATAGATCAAAGAAAGAGAGAGAGAGAGCGATAGTATTGCCTAGCTTGTTGGCTTTTATTCGTTTATAGAGCACAATCTATAAAATTATTATTATGATGATTGGCTTTCTTATCAGATACGTTGAACATTCGCGCTGCAATGGTTTATTTTTAGGCATGAGCTATGCGCCTTCAAGACTCCAACACGCCCCAAAGTCAACTGAATCGAACAACAGCAACAACAACAACAACAGCAACAATCGCAATGGTTTTCGTTTCGTCAATTGTGACTCAGTTGTTGTTGTTGTTGTTGTTGTTGTTTTTCAATAATAAGACTGTTTGGCGCCATTCTGTGCATTGGGCTCGTGTGCGATTCGATGTGTTCAATAGATTTGCATGTTCATTAGTCTTTTTATTGCTGTTCATTGCTGCATTAGCATTAGTATTAGTGTTTGTATTAGTTATAGTTTAATTATTGTCTAATATTGGAATAGCTATTGATATTCCTAACTGTTCTAGTACTAGGATTAGTTGCATTAGCTTAGCTATTAGCACTAGCTTAACTTGAATATTACTCATTAGCACTAATATAAGCATAGACATTAGCATTAGTATTCCTGTTTGAGTTCAGTAATGATTATTCTTTTATTATTATTATTAGAAATATTCGCATATTATTATTATTATATTAGCATTACTATTAATATTCACATTAAGATACATATTACCATTAGCATTAGCATTATCATAGTATTTCTACTGGGAATAGTATTAGCATTGATGTTCGTATCTGTCTTGGTATTATTATTAGCTCTAGCATTAGTGTAAGGATTGCCTTTGTTCATTGAAAATCAAGTTTTTGTCGATGACATATAGGTACACTCCCCCCTCCCCCCTACCCACACTATCAGCTAAGCATATATCACGTCAAGCTCCTTCCTCGATCTTTGGACAACTTCACTTGACACACATTCAACAATGCAATGCGCTCTGTACTTATTTGCGTAGTTTCTAATGCGCTGTAGTCCACACATACACATACACACCATCATTCATGGATCACCCCCCATTCGGAGGGCGATTGGCGGGTGGGCGCGTTTTACAAATCGAATCAAATGGAATCGTATCGTACATCGTCGTGCATTTAATACGTATGCGTCCTACTTGAACTCGGGCCCGTTGCACAATTCTTATCTCTGGTCACACTCATCCACACTCCTCGCGCCCCACTCAATCGCCCCTGCTGCCCACACTATGTAATCAGGCATTATCACTGCTCTATACCACATATACATGTATAATATATTATATATATGTATGTATGTATATTGAATGCGATATGGCCTGGGTGTATGTGTGCTACTTATTAGCTTGTGCACATATATTTATATGCGAGCTTGAATACCCTGTAATCGCGCAGGGGGTATAATCGAATTCTGAATATGACGAACAATTGAACTATATATATATTTATAGGTAATTGTATATAAGTGAACATGGAATATTTACTGCAATCTCTCAAGATTTATTTATATAAATTTGTTTTTCATGGTATATTTACATTCTTACCCATCTGAGATATATATGTCATGTTTGTTTTGTATGATCATATGATGATTATTATCGATTTCTTGTAAGTGAAGGCATGCACCAATCATAATCATCAATCATCAATCATGATCATGATTCCTATAAGATCATAGCTAACTGATTCTACTCACATTGGGCTTAGATACACTTCGACATTGCAAATTCCATTCGAAAGAGTTTGTCTTAACACGAATCGTCCTCAATTCAAAATGGCTTTGTTAATATTGATCAACTGATCTTACGTGCGTCGAAAAGCCTGGGGTGATTTTTTTTATTCGATGGTGCACGTGCGTCTACAATTACGGAGCACTGTGCTACAGTAATCTATAATTACAATATACCTAGCTATAATTATAAATGACGAAATTCGAAAGCAATGATCGGGCCACTTCAGAGCATTGTTGTTGCTTATCGATTAACGGTCACGCCTAGCCAAAAGTCCCATGGTCGATAATGCGTGCCGTGATTTATATGGCAATCAGATGGCAGGAAATACTCATATATGGGCCTATATATAGTCGCAGATTATGCCAACTGGGCGCCATTACTGATTAAAATATCCATAAAGAGAGAAAGAGAGAGTGAGAAGTGGAGTAAATACCGAACAAGTGTAGATTGCTAATCGATAAATTAGCGATAGTCCAGTGAACTCGATTGTTATGACAGCTAGAAGTATAGGAAATTGGAATGGGGGTTCGACTGAAGTGCACTGAAGTCAAATCGAAAACAAATTTCCAGAGCCTCAGCTCCATTGATCTTATTAATCTTAACTAATTTTACTTTCTCCATCCTCTTCTTTTCCTTTCCTTTCCTTTCAGTTGGCTTTCGCACCCATGGCATCGTCCTGCCGGAGGAGACGCAGCTGCAATGGATGTCCGAGCATATGAGCTATCCTGACAATTTTCTGCATTTATCGGTTGACTATGTGACCGAATAACTCAGCGGGAGAGCGACAGAGAGAGAGAGAGAGAGAGAGAAAGAGAGAGAGCAATTAGAAGTTGGAATGAGTTGCCAGAGAGTGCGGCAATCCAATGCTTTAACCCAGGGCCGATCTGTAGCGGATCGATTTACACACACTTACCAATAACTATAGACACTAATTAATTGTTAAGTTCAATGTACAATGTATGAAATATTTATGTACCATATACCTATGCGATAATATATATAGCTTGATTTAGCATTTATACTATGTACGGACACATCTAAAGCAAAATGGATTTGCACTCTGTCAATTCATCGATCATACCATTTCGTAATGTTTATTCCCGCATTATTCTCTTGCCGACCAACGGTTCGTGACGTTCTATTTATAAGTCCACTGTACGGGGTTCATTCAAACGCGCTGGCCCAGGCCGGGCCCTAGGAACTGTACACAGCGTGGCGAAAATCGTGCCATAAACGCTTATCAATTTCATAAGGAAATTCAACAACAAGCCAAAGAGACGAATGAAACACCCTGGAAAAAATGGTACTTCGGAAGCTACGCAGAGCAAACTGAAAATCTTCAGGCTACTATTTTAGGCCACATTCTCGATCAGTTATATTAATTTTTATTAAAAATATCTGTGTGTGAATATTGATATCAATAAAAATTATGCAACAATAAAAGATTTTTAATCGTTGCCGAAATCTATCGATAATAAATAAAGAAGGAAATAAAAGAAAATAATGATTCGATCGAGATCAATAAGCTTCTATAACTATATATATGAATATCTACTTTAGTCACAGCTCTATAAAACGAGTGTTTATTTATTATTTAATCGAGGCAAGAAAACTTATCAGAAGCTCAACTAGATAAACGTAATTCTATAGAGCCAAAGAAGTTTCTATAACAATATACCGATATCTGTATCTATATATCGATATCTATTTTAGTCAGAAATGCTATCAGCATCGATCGATAAGTTTTACGCTCATCCAACGTGTTTACAGGGTATGCAGCAGTCGTATCGAATCGAAGCACTTCGTACATTGCGATCGGGTTCATTGATTAGGCCACTCGCAATTTTTATCCCTTGTCAAGATAACGGCGACCTTACACAATATTTCAGTCAGCTCCACATTTTGGCGATATTTTATTCTGTTTCTATTTTCATGAATTATTTGAAGAGCATCGATTTGAAAACAAATGTCAGCTCTCTGGCTGCTAAAAATAGTGAACGCCACTTGAGAATGATTAATACGATGATAATTATATATAAAATATATATGTTTATTCGATTGGTATTATTCATTTATCTAGGTCGCTGGGTAAAATGGAATGAATGCCCAACCCAGCGCGACAATGAGAGAGAAGCAAACTACAAAATGAGCCAGACGATAGGAAGCAGCGTGAGTTTTGGGAAATTTATGGCTTTGACTTGGCAAATCGCTTATGATAAACCACTTAATTCTCAGGCATGGACATTATCGGCGCCTTGATGGATCTATGTGGACGGGCGTTTGCATGTTTTTGTTTTAGGAACTGCAATAAACCCATAGGAAAAGCGACGTTCCGTTTGGACACGTATGCCACATATACTCATCCATTTGGACATTGATCGATCCGCTCACTTTGCTCTGTCCAAGTAGATGTGGCCCAGTCGCATGCTCGCCGGACATCGCTCTCGAGTGGAACCACTAACTTATGCCACAATAAACACACGATTTGTTTGCCCATTGCCCTGAACCCGGTCATGCATCAGCCACAAGCGATCCTCGTGGAGGGCTGATCCGATCGCTAACGAGACACTTGTATAGATATATCTGTGCTATACAGATACTATATATATGTTTATACTTGACTGAATCATTAGCATCATATGCCATTGATATTTTATCTATATTTGCTTGCTGATTACCGATCGATCCTCTTCAATAATAACAACAGTTAACTGACCACTGATCCTCTCTGGTGATTCTAGATTCATATGAGGGCACTTTATAAATAGCTCATTGTAGTTGAACAATCTTAAAGTAAGACGCTGATCATGAATTTGCTCTCACTTTCACATTTTCTGATCACTGATCTTCTCTTATGATCACAGATCTTCTCTTATGAAAACTTATCTTCTCTTTCTCAGCACTATACCAAATGAACGATCCGATCTTACGGATCAATGATCACGGATCGCTCATCTCCTCTGGTGATTCTAGATTCCCATTGTAATGGTAGCATAGTTAGTATACGAACTGCACATAAAAGTAAAGTCATTGTCAATTGTTAGAGTCATATCTTGGATCTGATCATCTGATCATAATTCTTCCACTGACGCTCTTGAGCACCTTTGGGTGAATCGCTCAATGTGTACAACTATTCGAATAAATTCCATTTTGAACATCAATTCTTTAAGTTTATGAGCTTTTTAGTTCTCACAGTTTCCAGTTTGAAGAAAGCCTAGGCATGTCTCAACCCGAAAATACTATGCATATCCTTCACTTACTGAACAATGACTCAAATTCTATTACCTGTAGTACCATCAAGATGCACTTTAAATATTCCTATAGTTAACAGGAATTTATGAATTTGTTATTGGTCTATGCTTTAGATTTGTGACTGTGTTCCAGATGATAAGTCCAAGATAACTCAATGATAAGTCAGATATCAGTATCGGAATAGGAATTGTTCTTGGTTAGTTAAGAACGTCATTGGATCGTATGATGAAATACATTTATAATGTACTTCCCCTGCTCCGCATGAGTTTTATGAGGCGCATTTGCAATGCCAATGAAGGGAATTTAGTTAGGTTTGATTTGCTACCGCAATATAAACTGTTATCGTATTTTTTACAATTGTTATTGTTCTTTGCGATATGGAGAAAGTGTATTTCAACTGCGTAAGCAAATCGCAATGAAGGGGAAAGCCAAGTTGTTCCAAACTAATACTAAATTTATTTTACTTTAATTTACTATATACCTACCTATATCAAAGCATTTCTAAAGGAAATAGCTGAATAGTTTGTCAAAGTTTTTATTGTGTATATTGTTAGTTAGTAGTTTACATTGACTAATAAATATTTATCATAATGCCATTGGTATTTGTGCATCGGACTCTACTCGATCGTTGACTAAATATTCCATAATGTTCATTAGACACCTGAATCCAATCCAAAAATATATACATATTATATATTTGTTTATTTCATCATTTTAAATCTACCAGTATTAAATAACCTTAAAATATATATTTTTTACTAATAAATTATCATTAAAGTAAATTAGTAATTAAAAAATGATACTTTTCATTAATTTATTATTTTCTTTAAGGTGATTTTATATTGACAGAAAAATAAAAATATAATTTTGAGAAAATAGTAATTTAATGATAAATAAATAAAAAAATAAATAAAAAAATAAAAATATAAAAAAATAGTAATAATAATACAAGCCAAAGGCCTGAGTAGCTAGTGCTTTAATTATTAAGTTAGCTCATAATTTTAATTATAGCTAACTGTTAAAGATAAATAAAAAAAAAAATAAAAAAAATAATAATTTAATAAAAGTAAAAACAAAAAAATAATTTAATGAATATATATATTATTTTATAATATATAACATATATTAAATCTATTAATATCAAATATCTTTAAAATATATATTTATATATTAGTAATAAACTAACAATTTACACAATAATTTAATAAAAATAAAATAAAAATTAAGAAGAAACATAATATTTGTTTATAAAAGTTCAATTTGTTCCATATGAATCATTTGTAGAATTCACTAAGCTCCAATGCAAAGCATAATTTAAAATAAGTAGCATTAGGCCCAGCATTTGAAACTTGTTTTTTAATTATATACATATAAATTTATTTTATTTATTTATTTTTTTTTTTTTTTTGTTAAACCTAATCTCATCTTAAAATACTTTGCTTCATATTTGCTATATATATATATTATGTATATTATATGTAAATATTTAATGAATTGACATAGAATATGCATAGCTGAGTGAACAGTTTTGGCCGCACAATGTCGGGCAATGCCCACTCGTTGCAGCTCTTGCCTATGCATAAATAAAATGTGAAATAATTGGATATGCAGAGACAATTGGATGACCTTGCCAGATGCGCTCAGGTGTGCAGTGCAGCATGCCGCGCGTCAAGAGGAACGAACCCCTAGCAGAGCCACCCTAATGGCCACCCTAGCGAGCCGCCCCGCCGCATGGTGGTGGCCGCGCGGTCCGCCTTCGCCCCGATGCTCGTTTGTTAACTTTGCAATTTTGGCTGCAGACGATGCTGCACATGATCAACAGGCGCTGCTGCAGATCAGCTGAGTGGCCGGCCCGGTGGTGCACGATGTGGTGCGGTGGTGCACGGTGGTGCACGACGGTGCTGTTGCTTTGCGCAAATCGCCTGTGTCACGTGGCATTACAAAGAGTCACAAGAATTCCGCTCGCACAGCAACACGAAATAAATCAAAGAAATTCGCAAGACAAAGCAACAAAACGAAATGAAATGCTAGAAAAATAGAAAATGAGCCACATGCCCAGGTTTCCGCCGGGGGGAGGGGGCAGATGGCTGCCGGGCGGGGGATATAGTTCTTTTCGATTTGGATGCTACCCAGATTTCGAACAGCAGCCTGCCAGTCTCACACAGGTGTATTCTCTCCCCCTCTCTGTCTCTCTCTCACTCTCTCTCGCTCTCTCTGTTGCCATTTGAAATATTTGAATTATCAGCAGGAAGATAATTTGCAGATAGTCGGGCGTTATGCAACATAAAAACAATTGGTAATCAAGCATTGTCTTGTCCAGCTATCGCGTATTGTATTCTAGTATCTCCCAGGCGATTCGTTGTCACCTCAATCTGATCACAGTTATTCACCGTTCATGTTTACTTTGTGTCGCTCAGGTATTGCTCTATCTCTATGCCATCCAGCCAATCCACTATGCCTCTGTATCTCTGTATATTTCAATCAACTGATCTATCTCTAGTTTCTAGTGAGCAAACGAATCGCTAGATATAGATATAGATAGATATAGAGAGAACATGAATCATCTCAGCAGATATCTCATATCCCACATTATGTCCGACATATCTATCGACCAATCCGCTTCGTATCTCTTTAAACTTTGCACTCAAGTCTATCTAATCCTTGTATCGCTTCTGTATTTCCCAACAATTCATTGTCTTTCAGTCTAGAAATTCATCTATTTTCTGATTTCGCTTATGGATGCCAATTGAACCCCATCTTCTAGCTGAGCTCAGTGCCTCTCTATATTCCTTACTTTTCGGTCAGGTGACATTTTTCTTCAGTTCTCAGAAGAGTCGTATTACGTAAATCTATATAGATGACATAAACAATGAGCGCAAGTATCGTCTCGAAGTATATGTTTATATGTAGTTGTATATGAAAGTGTGCAAGACGAGCTTCTCTTTACTTTATTTGATAAACCTCGGGACTTTTATTTATATGCATGTACACAAAATGAGGGAATGTATACAGTTTTTGACCTACCAATAACAAGTGAATACTTCCACATATACAAACAGAAATTCAAGATATTCAATCATATCAAAGTGGAAAAGCGCTGAGTAAAGTCTAGCCGAATCTAACAGCTAACATATCCCTTATAATCTTTGCTTAAGATCGATAAGCGATTTGTGGCAATCTATGAAACTTAAGGGAAGTAGAAAGCACTTTGATGGAATGAAAAAATCCCAACTGTTGTAGTTCTTTGTGTCTTATGCTTAAATATATTTGACCAACAAGTTTAAAGTAGAGTATCTAAGAAGTAGTCAAGGCCCTAAAGCTCAATTAGATCAAGAATAAGATGGCATTTAGGTTACATGGGTAGGCCATCTAGCCTAGATCGAAGCATATTGCAATGTCAAGTTGATGCGTAGCTAGAGTCGAGTATCTTGTAAGTCGATCAGCTCTAAGCTTATAGAAAGCAGTTGAGATAGAGTATTTCAAATGTAGAGTATCTAGGCAAGGTTACGTGTCTAACGCTGTACATATAGGGTATATGTAGGGTATCTACAAACTCATTTGGCTCAAGTTGTTCGAGCTTAGCGAACAGTCGCATGGACTCGGTGCGTAGGCAGGGTATTTGTTGGTCTCTTTCGAGCAACTTCTTGCACGTCTTAGCGAAAAATTCTTTGGCAGCAAGCACAATCACAACACACACACACACACACACACTTACACACACGCAGAGTGTCGAGTTGGGTGTGCTATGCAAAAATATCAACTACGTAAAATAAGTGAGGGGCTGAGCAGCGACTGCGACTGCGACAGCGACAGAGGCAGAGGCAGAGACAGAGGCAACGTCAACGGCGACAGCTCTGACTGCCGATTGGCGCACACATTGGCAAACGAGAGCACTTTATTTTTAAATGTTTTAAAAATACGAGCATTATAGAATTTAGCGGCTTAGTCATAGCAGCCAGCGCAGCGCGGTAGCCGAAAAGAACCAAAATATGGCATGCGAATTGACCAGAACTAAGCAACAGAATGGAATGGAACGGCCCCATACGAAAAACTAAGCACACTCACACACACACACACACACACACATGCGAGGTGCTGGCGATGAGCTGGCCAAGATGAGATGACACACGCAAGATCACGAGATCATGCGAACAGAGATTCATCATGGAGCGATCTGGCGCGAAAGCCGAAAGAGCTTTTCTTGTCTGCGCAATGGGAATGATGTGAAAACGAGACAAGGTGTGGAATTAAGAGATAACTGAACGTATTTAAAGCATTCACGAGTTCAAAGCGAACAGAGATCTCTGATGAAACGATCTCAATGAAAGCCAAAAGACTAGGAATGGATTGGAATGCAATGGAAATGAGCGTAAGTATGAAATTGATCGATCATAGGATATCGATAACTGATTGCGATTGCGAATATAGTTAATAGAGTAAACACAGTAAATATACCAATGATCTTTTCTTGGCTGGAACGAAATGGAATGGAACAGGCATTAGCCTAAGTCAAGCTTATATCGTTATCAGAGTGACGCGAGGTTGGAGGTGGACAAGTGATCGAAAGAAAAACCAAATGAACTCATTCGCTCAGAATGGAATGGAATGGAATGGAATGGAATGAATTTAAGTGTGGAATGAAGCTATACCTCATCACAGAATATGGTTGATAGAGAGATACAACGAATTCAATGAAAGTCACAAGGCCTTTTCTGGACTGAAACGAAATGGAATGGAACACTTTTGCGTATTACAGCAATATATGATAATATTCGATCAAATGAAACGATAGATCACATAGAGTTACCATCATAGAAACGATCCCAGTGAAGGTCAACATCATTTTTATTGCACTGGAATGAAATGGAATGAAAATGAGCTTTGGAATGAAGCGATGACAGACTGAGATCAACACGCAAAGAAAACCTTGATAGGAGGAGATCAATGACTCTCTTCTCATTTCAATTTCTGAAATGAAGGGGAATTGAAACACTAGCTAAATCGAAAATGTGCAAAGGATCTCTAGGAGCTAAGGGTGGTCAGAGATGACGAAGACTCGATCGCTTGAAGGTGAGGTGAAGCGAAAGCCAACAGCAAAGCTGATAGGCAAATGCAGTGAATGATACTTGGAACAACATCTGAAATAAGCGACGAGTGAAACATATTCGATGGATTACGATTTCAAAGCAAACACTGCTTCTCAAAGAGTCAATTTCAGCGAAAGTCAACAGGGCTTTTCCCGGTATACAATAGAAACATATGTGGCATGGTCTGATAATGAGGCAAGGCCCGATGGCATCAGGTAACAAACGAGTCATATTCAATGAATTCAAATTAGAACATCAAATGGCGTGAGATCCATTTAAGATCTGTTTCGTTTGGCTGTAAGTCTGGAATGGAATAGGTCTAGATGAGATTGCCTATAGATTATGTTGGTTAAATCATAATAATATGTAAATATTTTATATAGATTGTACAGAAGAAGAAATCTGGGAAGAATTTAGGAACTCACAGTTATTATGAAGTAGACTCAAATATATTGTCTGTATTCCCATATATAAATGTATATTATATCATTTTTTAAATATTTTACAATATATTTGTGGAAAGTTTTGGCATATAGGAAGGGAATTAAACAATTTGGTATGGATATGTATGGCAAGTAGGAGAGCTCATATAAGAAGAAACCTATACATATATACATATATCAGATCTGTTTATATATATTTGGTAAATTTAAACTGGGCTCAATAGATCTTGGTCTTGTATAGGTTTGAAAGTCAGGTGGTATAGGTCTATGACTCGTCTGTCGTTAGCATATAGTATTTCCCTCACTGCCCCGCAATGGATTGCATAAGAGATGAGAGGAGTAGCGGGGTAGAGGAGAGGAGAGGCAAGGCGAGGCGGAACGAACGGAAGGAAGAGCAATGAAATAGTGTAGCAGTGAGTGCGATCTGTTTGATCTGATCACATAATACCTGAAGAGTAGCGTGATCGTCGATCAGCCGATTGCCGATTGCCCATTGCCAATTGCCAATTGCATAAGGGCCTGGCGAGCTGTTTACTGTTTGTTGTGCGAGTGCCAAATGATTAACACCCGCCAACCAAATGGCAGGCGAAACGTTTACGAATCGCGCCGCAAAGAAGACGAGCGGAGAAACGTTGCCAAAGCGAAGGAGATCAATAAAAAATACTTGGATTTTCATGTTTTTTAAATGAATACATTTTTTTTATTTCTTGTTCAGTTTTTGTTGTTTTTTTTTTTCAATCTTTATCTTTTTTTTTTTTTTTGTTTCAATATATAAAAATACTGTTTTAAATATATATTCATATACATATATATGTATATTTAGGGGCACGTATGGATATAAAGTTTTGCGCAAAAAAAAAAACATCTCTTGTATATAAATATATATTGTATATATGTATATTGTATATAGATATAATATAGATGTAAATATACTATATATATATATAGATATATAACTAGATATCTATATGATTCCGCAGTTTTTAACAATTTATTCAAATTTTGTTTGTTGTTTTTTCATATCACAAGAATTTTCAATTTACCAAAAAAAAAAAAAAAAACACATACATGTGTATAATTAGTGCGTATATATATATGTATAATATATCTATTCTTAACAATTATATATATATATCTATAGAAGTCTATATATATTTATCAACTATAGATGAATTACACATTTGATTAGTTCCCGTTTTGTTAACTCAATTCTGTGGGCTGGCCACGCCCACGCTTCATTTCTTAGCCATGACAACAAAATTCATATATGTGTATGTGTGTGTGTGTGTACGTGTATTTGTTTTTCTTTTTGTTTTGTTTTTAAAGCTTTTTCTTACAAACATTTGTATTTTTTTTTATTTTAATTTTAATTCAGCTGCTGCAGTTGCAGTTGCACTTGTTGTTGTTGTTGTTGTTGTTGTTGTTGTTGTTACTTTGAATACACTTGCAGCGAGCATATATACATATACATATAGACTTTTCCACAGGAACAATTGCATTTGAAATTAATAAAATAAATAAAAATGAGTATAAAAATAATAAAATAAAATGAAAATGATTTTTATAATTTTAGTTTAATTTTTAATTATTTTTCTTGTTGTTTCTCGTTGATGCTTTTCAATAAACAATTGTTCCTTAAATATATCAAACCAATATTAATCCAACATCTATATATCATATATATATATATATTCCACTTTGCTGCAAAAATATTTCAAAATAATTCAGTTTTGTTTTTCTTTTAAATTTATCGTAAAAATTCTTGATTTATATTCCATTCGTTTTTGTACATAATTAAATTAGTTATTTACACAAACAAAACTAAAAAAAAAATTGTACGCTTAATTTATAGTAAAAAAAATATGCTTAAAATAATTTAAAAATAATTAATTATATGTTTAATGTATAAAAAAAAATTGTAATGTGGCTTAAACATAATTTGTGGCTAAAAGTAAAAAAAAAAAAAATATGTTTATTCAAATTTTAATTACAATTAAAAATATTTTGTTTTTATTTTGTGTTTGTTTGATATATGACAATTGCTTAGGTATATGTATGTATATGTGTGTGTGTGGGTATGGGTGTGGGGCGTGTCTTGATATGTTTTTGTTTTTATTTTTGTTTTTAATTGTTTTGTTGGCATTTGGAAGTAATTAGTTAATTAATTATATTTGCATTAAATTTAACAATTGAAACAAACAAAAAAAATGTTTTTTTTTCTTTTGCTTTCTTCTTCTTCTTCTTCTTTTTAGACTTTTCGTTAAGCTGTAACTTACAAGGCCCGGGAAGAGGCCCTAGGCCACGCCCCCAAGCGCTCGCTAAGGTGGGTGGTTCGATGGCTGCTGCGGCTGTCGCTTAGGCCAGCAGCGTGATGGGCGCCGCCCGGCTGCTGCTGTTGGGCGTGGCCGTCGGCGGACCCGCAGCCGCAGCGGAGTTAAGACGTGCCAGCGCCTCCTGGTCGAGCCAGCGCTGCAGCTGCAACTGTTGCTGCTGCTGCTGCTGCTGCATCAGATTGTCGTTGTAGACGGGGGCGTGCAGCTGCAGGGTGAGGCTGTAGCCGTGCGTGGAGGAGGAGCTGGCGCTGGGGCTGTCGCTGTAGGTGGAGGAGCTGCTCTCGTAGCCGGACACGGGCGAGCCCTTGGGGCAGCAGAAGCCGATGGGCGAGAGCGCCGGCGCCGAGAATGGGCTGAGCACGTTGATTGTGGGCGTGGCGGGCTTGCTGCCGCCGCAATTGCTGCTGTTGCTGCTGCTGCTGCTGCTGCAGCTGTTGCTGCCTTGAAAGTGCTGCTGCTGCTGCTGTTGCTGCTGCTGCTGCTGAGGACTCCCGGCGTGAAACGGCGGCAGCGCTGCTGCGCCGGCTCCATAGGGCATCAGCAGCGATGGCGGCGGCGGCGACTGAAAGCAACTGTTGCTGCTGACGCCGGCAAACGGATGATTGCTCCAGATGATCGGCTCCCGCTGCTTGGGCGTCACGCGCTTCTTCTTCTTGCTGCTGGCGCCGCTGCTGCCATTGAGCGTGGCATGCTCCTCGTCATCGGCATCCGCATCGCACTCATCCTCGACGCGCAGCTCCAGCTGCTCCGGCTCCTGCTCCCGCTCATGTTCCTGCTCCCGCTCCCGCTCCCGCTCCTCCTCCTCCTGGGCTGCACTCTCGTCCAGCAGATAGGGCTTGAAGAGCTTCACCTGCTTGGCGGGCAGCTTGTGCTCAGCAACAGTTGCTGCTGCCGCTGCCGCCTCAGTCTCGGCCTCCGCCTCTGCCTCCGCTTCCGCCTCCACGTCGATGTCCACGTCGTCCTCCGCCTCGTTGTCGCTGGGCTCGCACTTGATGGCCTCCAGTTTGCTCAGCTTGTCCGCCGGACTGCTGCTGCTGCCGCTGCTGTCGCCATGCCACAGCGTTTGGGCCGCGCGCTTGCGACAACCCAGCGGCAATGATTGCTGCTGCTGCTGCTGTTGGTCCAGCTGCAACTGTTGCTGCTGCTCGCGCTGGCGTCGCGCCGCGCTGCTCAGCGACAGATCCATGGGCGCGGGCAGTGTCAAATAGTAGGCGTAGGGCAGCGGCTGTGGCTGCGCCGTTGCATGTTGCTGCGGTGCGGGCTGAGGAATGTGCTGGCTGCTGCTGCTGCTGCTGTCGTTGTTGTTGCTGTTGCTGTTGCTGGTGGGTATTGGCACGGCATTTGGCACTTGTTGCTGCTGTAGAGTTGAGCAATATGGCAACGTTGTGGCGCTGCTGCAACTGTTGCTGCTGTTGCTGCTGCTGCTGCTGTTGTTGGTGTGGCAATTATTACTGCTGCTGCTGCTGCTGCTATTGTTGCTGTTGTTGTTGTTGGCAAAGGCTGCCACCACAGCGGCAATTTTGGCTGCCGACAGCGTGTAGCTGCTGCTGCCAGTGCCGCCGGCAACAGTTGCTGCCGTACCATTGCTGTGGGGCAACAGAGGCGGCGGCGGTGGCGGCGGTGCCAGCGGCGGGGCTGCCGCTGCGGCCGCCAACTGATGGGGATGCGGATGGGCATGGGGCGTGGCAAATCCGTTCGCCAACATCGGATGGGAGCGCGCGGCAGCAAATGCTGCTGCCAGAGAGGCAGCCGCGGCGGCCTGATAATGATGGCGATGATGATGCTGGGCGGCGACCAGGGCATGGGGCAGCTGATGGAACTGGTGCGGCTTCATTGGCGCTGCTGGCGGCACCAACTGCTGCGGCGGCGGCGGTGGCTGCAGCTGTTGCTGCGGGTGCAGATGCTGCTGCTGCTGCAATTGCTGTTGATGCTGCTGCTGCAGTTGTTGCTGCTGCTGTTGTTGTTGCTGGTGCAAATGCTGCTGCTGCTGCTGTTGTTGCTGCTGCTGCTGATGCTGGTGCTGGTTGTTGGCCACGGACGAGCGCAAATTGGGCTCGCATTGCAGCCACTTCTGTATCTGCCGCCGATGGATGTTGTACTTGCGCGCCGTCGCACGCTGGTTGCCCTTGCAGTCGTTGTCATGGCGGTACGACTCGAGCACCTGCAGCTTGAATTGAGGCGTGAAGATGCGACGTGATCCCATTTTGGGGCTGCAGGCGCTGCTGCTGCTGTTGCTGTTGCCGTTGCTGTTGCTGTTGCCATTGCTGTTGCTGTTGGTAGCACTGCCATTGCCATTGCTGTGGCGCTCAGCAACTGTTGCTGTCGAGTCCTTGGCAGGTCGCTTGTGTTGCTCCTGTTGGTTAAAGCCCAATGCGGCGGCTGCTGCCATGGCTGCTGCTGCTGCTGCGGCGGCGGCAATGCTGCTGCTGCTGCTACTGCTGCTGCTGGTGTTGTTGTTATTATTGTTGTTTATCGAACTTGGTTCGCTGTTATCCATTTTAGTTGCTCGGGCAATATTTGCCTTGTAGTTTGTAAAACGTTTTGTATATCAAAAATAGTATTTACAATATAACGTATTTATATATATATATATGTGTATATATTTCTTTACAAATATATACAGTTAGTTTTCAATGTGCTTCAACAGTTGTTGGTGGCGTTGTTGTTGTAGCTGTTGCTACTTGCTGGCGACGCTTGCGCTTTCATAACTCGCGATCTGGCAGCGCTGGCACTGGAAACAAGTGAGCGCAACAACAAAAACACGTTAACGTTGTCGTCTTGGAAAAACAACGAGAAACAAAAAGTTGTTGCTTTTTATTTGATATTTGTTTTTTGGTTGTTTTTTGTATTTGTTTTTTGCTTTTTGTTTTTGCTCTTTGATTTTTCTTTTGTATTGGTTGTTGCTTTGATATTCTTATTAATATTATTATTTGTAATTTGCTTGTGGACTGTTGTAAATGTTAGATGAAAGAACACATGAGCACAACACAAAAAAAATATAGTATATATTTGTACATATGAGAAATTTGTAGCTTGAATTCATTTGCACACACAAAAACACACAGAGAAAAATATTGTTGCTCTTGTTTGGCAACGCGACGCGATCCGCAACCGCACGGCAAGGAATCCAAAACACAATTGTTCTGCCCGCTGCGTTCTACGTTCTAGACTGGCTGGCCCGTCGTTGTCGGCGCTGCTTCTGCTGCTGCTGGCGCTGCCGCTCACACACACACATACACATATACACGTACACATACACGACGTAGACGTACAAGTGTGTGCGCGAGAACGAAACGAAACGAATCGAACTGAAATGAACGAATGAACGCAGCAATAGCACAGCGCAGAGCTCACGCGCGCGCCTCTCAGTCTGAGAGTATGAGTGCAGTCGACGCTCTGTCTGCCTGTGTGCGTGTGCCTGTAGGTGCGTGTGTGTGTGCCTGCGTATCTGTGTGCGTTCTAATAGCTCATCAGGCGAAGTCGCAGCAGCAACCAACAGCAACAACGCCGACAGCGCAGCAAGTGTGCGTGCATCTGTGTGTGAGTGTGAACGAGTCAGACACTTGGCGGGCCCAAGAGTCGCCGCCGCCGCCGCCAGACCAAACCAGTTGTTGTTATTGCTATTGTTGTTGTTGTTGCTGCTCTTGCTGTTGTTGCTTTTGCAGCCAAGCCAGCAGCAACAGCGCTGAGCATTGCAGACAAACTGACGACAATCGTCGGCGAGGTGTCTGCGCTCCTGTATTATGCATGCATGTACATATGTATGCATGTGTGCGTGTTTGTGCCTGTGCGTGTATGTGTGTAAGTGAATATGTTGAATGACTGCGAGTATATGTATGTGTGTGAGAATACTTCTTGTTGTGCTCATGATGGAATAACATACAAATAAATATCTGTATGTGAGTATATGTATATATACATGCACATATGTATATGTATATATATATATATTAATATAAATATAAATATATTATTCCATCATGGTTGTGCTTGTTGCGACCGCGGCGCTTTTGTGTGGCTGGTGTAGAGTTGATTTTCTGCTCCGGCCGACGCAACGGACAGAAGGGGACGGACACGAACGACGATTGCTGGCCCTGCCCCCGGGCACAGCCCAGCCGCCTGCCTAACCACAGGCTGACTAACTGACAAGCGCTGTGTGGTGTGCAGGCCACTCAGACTGAGCAGACTGTGGGGCAAAAGCAATTTGATGTGAAACAAATGATCAATTATCAATAAATATACTATTTTTATCTAATTCGAAATTTATTGCTCCTCTTATACTTTTAAAACTAAATAGATATTCGAAATACTAATAAATTAAAAATTTCAATTCATAAGTCATCATATGAACTATTTATTTTTTAACCAAGCGTAATTTCTCATTTCGCTTTTTAATTCAACTTTCAGTTAACCCAACAGACCCACTGTGCAGCTGCTCTTGTGGCTGTGCGCCAAAGGAATAGCAGCTTCGACAGCGTCGACTGCAAACCGCGTTGCGGCGACTGCAGCCAACTTGCGCTACAATTTCGCTAGCTCTGCCAGTTTACACGGATATACACGCACACACACTGAACGTAAAGTGCATACACAGTGCATGAGAGCGTGTGTGTGTGTGCCTGAGTGTATGTGAGTCGTGGCTGCCAGACATTCTGGCACTAGGGCTCGGCTCGGCCGACATGTTTAGTGCTTTTGCTTTTGCTCTGTCGCCTCGACGCAGCGTCAAATCGTCACATGAACTTGTTGAGCGCTCGCCGCCGTACGATTTTTGTATGTGTGTGTATGATTATAGAAGAGGGGGTTGAGTGCGCGCCATGCCGTTGCCTCTCTGACTCTCGCTCTCTTTGGTTATGCTCTGTGCATGCATATATTTCTATGCATGTGTGTGCGTTTGTGTGTTACGTACACAATCGAGAATCAACTGTTGAATGTGTAATGCGCTGGTGTGCGCTGGCTCACGATGGAATAGCATGTTATTCCATTATGAGAGCGATGCATTTTTTGTTTTTCGATTTTTGTTGTTGCTTCTGCTGCTCATGTGTGTATGCATGCATATGTATTGTGTGTGTGTGTGTGTGTTTTGTGGTTGCTGTTTGTATGCAATTGTGTGTATGGTTGTTTTTGGCTGTGGGTGCATTAGCGTCTCCGCTGCTATCGCCAAGCGATGCTGCCATGGCCGCCACCTGACTAAGCTCAAAGACAAAAGGGCATAGAACGCAGCGTGGCATAAGTGCAATAACAAATCCAACTGCACTAAAAAAGGAAATCGATAGCATAGCGCAGCAGCAGCAACAACCACAGTATATGTAAGTAGCAGCAGCAGCAACAGTGGGCCGCACTTGTTGCAAATGACAAACGAAATTCGCTGTCCGAATGCGCAGAGACAAAAATCTGCGCTGTAGCTTGCTGCTGCCGATGTCGCTGCCGCGGTCGCAGCCTCTGCTGCTGCTGCGCTGCCGCGCCGATCGTCGACAACTGGAATTCATGAATGAAACACATATGCATGTGTTTGTGTGACTTTACTGGCGTTATTGCTGTCGTTGTTGTTGCTGTGACGACTGCGTGTGTATGCAAATTCATAAATAAAAAATGTGTTTTCTGTCTATGGTAAGTTGTTGTTGCAGTCGCTGTTGTCGTTGCTGTTGTTGTTGTAGCCAGCATCATTTGCGCGTGCGATATTGAAGAGCAGTCGAAGCGAGGGCCCAATCGAGCTAAAACGAGGCATAAACCATAAGAGTCGAAAGACTCACGCAACATGATTAGAGGTGCTCGTCCAAAGGCACTAGCAACAACAACTACAACACCAAACAACAGCAGCAATAATGCCGATAAAAAGCATTGACTCACCTAGTCAAAGCAACAGCGACGCGTCGGTTCGTTCGTTTGCTCGGCTTGCTGATGATGGCCGATGATAGATCGCTGCTACTCAGCAATGCGCACGCTTTGGCGTGAACGAGACGGGGCGAGCGCGAGAGGGATAGAGAGAGAGTCGAGCGAGACTTCCAGGCAGGAGAGGACACTGGACGCTGGACGCTGGACTTTAGCTCGCATAGATTCCCACGTCGTTACCTACGCCTTTGCCTTTGCCTTTAGTTTGTTGTTGCTGCGCTTCTTCTTCACCTTTTTGTTGTTGCAGTTGTTATTGGCATCCCAACACGCCCCAGAAAAATAAAAAAAAAGAGTACGACGCGTTGTCTGGCAACGTTGAGCGCTGCCTCGTCCCCGCGCTCGCCCACCCCCCCCTTTACCAATACTAATGCAACGCCGACGCCGACGCCTGCACATGAAAATGTTTTTGAATTGCATTTCCAAGTAACAAACAACAACAACAACAAAAACAACATCAAAATCATGCGCCCAAGGAATAACAAAAAGCAAAAACAGAACGAACGAAAAAAAAAGTTGAAAAAGAACGAAAACTTAAATAACAACAACAACAGCAACTACACAGGCAGCGCTACATTTGTGTGCGTGTGTGTGTGTGTGCGTGTTTAAAATAAAATCAAAAGAATTCCACTTTTGTGGCCCCGTCGGCTTCTAAATCGATTTATCAAAAAGAAGAAAACAAAAAAAAAACACAAGAGAAAAAAAAACACATTCAAGTAAAAAGCGGAAAAGACGCAGGCAAAGAGATAAAAATTGAATATAAAAAGGTAAAGGTAACGTAAAAATCGAAAACCTATACACACAATAGATGCACACACACACGCACACACACACACACACACGCAGACAGCGACAGACACATGAATTGATTAAAAAGTTGATGGAGTAAAAAAAAAAACAACAAAACAAAACAAAAAATCATTTGGTCAACGAAGGAGGCGCAGCGCAGCGGAGGGGGAGCGGAGAGAGCGAAGAGGGGGACATCTTGAAGCACAAAGGGCGCGGTACGATCGTGTGGGCAGCGAGCGGCGAGCAGCGGCGAGCGGAAACGGGGCGACACATAAAAGCGACAACGCGAGAATGAGAGAGATAGAGCTGGAGAGAAGACATGGCAAAGGGGAACGGAGTGCGGGGCCAAGTGGTATTGGGCCCGAGTCCGACGCCGTGCTGTCTGCCTGCGAATGCGGAGCACAAACCCACACATGCAAGCATCGAGCTATATAAACACACACACACACACACACACAGAGGGCTATATACATATATATTTATATATATATCAATATATGTATGTGTATTGGTGTATATAGAGAAACGAGTCGGACCCGTGGAGTGGGCAGGGGCAACACTTGGAGACAGCAACTCAAAAGATCGACGCGCACGCGCAACCCAATCCCAGCTTAACTAAGCCAAAGCCAAAGCCAAAGCCAAAGCCAAACCGAGCCAAACCAAATGAAACCGAATTGATAAGTCGACGCATAATAATAATATAATCTCTATACATAGATATGTATGTCTATATGTATATATGCGCAAGCAAGATAGTTCGGGTAATATCAGGTTATACCATAATATCATCAGGTTTCTATATAGGACAGAGATAGATACCAGAACTATAAATAGAATATATGAGCTTATACAGATATTGGTTATATATGATTCATCGGATATTAACAATTGGCTAAGAGAGAGATTACAGCTTATATAGATATTAGATATCCAGAGATGATCCATCAGATATTGGCAATGAGCGAAGGAAAAGATATGACAATTACATAAGCGCTGATCAAAGGAATATGGAATAAATTTATATTATATATTGAATATAATGTATGATGCATTGCATGTGAGCAATTTGAAAGATATCGGGATTATATCTAAAATATATTAGCCCATATTCATATTAGATTTACATAAGAATCAACAGGATATAAGATATTGAATATGGAAAATATGAGAGGAGGGAATCTATGAATGCATAGATAATAGGAAAATATGATCCATCAAATACGAATGCTATGTTAAAGGCATATATAGTTAGTCCCATATTAATGGCTGCTAATAGGCTTTACTCGTGAGGCATAGCAGTTCGAATGATGTCATATAAATGCTATATCAATAGCTCATTATCAGGCGAAACATCTATTTATATAGCTATACTCTAGATTAAATTGTGATGACGATAAGACCTTAAGTGGCTCAGGAATGACATTTCTAATGCAAATTAGAATATAATTTAAATGAGGAACTTTGATTTATTATAGGGATTACAAAAGTCAAAATGGAGGCCTGGAATCACTGATTCTGGGTATACAAAAAACAACGTAAGATTTTTA